GAACAATGAGATCACTCGGACTCTGGAAGGGGAACATCACACACCGGGACCTATTATGGGGAGGGGGAGGGGGGAGGGATGGCATTGGGAGTTATACCTGATGTAAATGACGAGTTGATGGGTGCTGATGAGTTGATGGGTACAGCATACCAACATGGCACAAGTATAAATATGTAACAAACCTGCACGTTGTGCACATGTACCTAGAACTTAAAGTATAATTAAAAAAAAAAAAAAAGAAAGAAAAAATGCTCATCATCACTGGTCATCAGAGAAATGCAAAATGCAAATCAAAACCATAATGAGATACCATCTCACACCAGTTAGAATGGTGATCACTAAAAAGTCAGGTAACAACAGGTGCTGGAGAGGATGTGGAGAAACAGGAACGCTTTTACACTGTTGGTGAGACTCTAAACTAATTCAACCATTGTGGAAGACAGTGTGGTGATTACTCAAGGATCTAGAACTAGAAATACCATTTGACCCACCCATCCCATTACTGGGCATATACCCAAAAGATTACAAATCATGCTGCTATAAAGTCACATGCACACATATGCTTCTTGTGGCACTATTCACAATAGCAAAGACTTGGAATCAACCCAAATGTCCATCAGTGACAGACTGGATTAAGAAAATGTGGCACATATACACCATGGAATACTATGCAGCCATTAGAAAGGATGAGTTCATGTCCTTTGAAGGGACATGGATGAAGCTGGAAACCATCATTCTCAAACTATCGCAAGGACAGAAAACCAAACACTGCATGTTCTCACTCACAGGTGGGAAATGAACAATGAGAACACTTGGACACAGGGTTGGGAACATCACACACCAGTGCCTGTTGTGGGGTGAGGGGAGAGGGGAGGGAGAGCATTAGGAGATATTCCTAATGTAAATGACGAGTTAACGGGTGCAGCACACCAACATGGCACATGTATACATATGTAACAAACCTGCACGTTGTGCACATGTACCCTAGAACTTAAAGTATAATAAATAAATACATACATACATACATAGGTATTAAAGGAACACACCTCAAAATAAAAAGAGCCATCTATGAAAAACCCACAGCCAACATTATATTGAACAGGGAAAAGCTGGAAGCATTCCTCTTGAAAACTGACGCAAGAAAAGGATGCCCTCTCTCACAACTTCTATCCAACACAGTATTGGAAGTCTTGCCCAGAACAATCAGGCAAGAGAAAGAAATGAAGGACATCCAAGTAGGAAGAGAGAAAGTCAAACTATCCCTGTTTGGAGACAACATGATTCTATATCTAGAAAACTCCATAGCCTCGTCCCAAAAACTCCTTAAAGTAATAAACAATTTCAGCAAAATTTTAGGATACAAAATCAACATACAAAAGTCACTAGCATTCCTATACACCAACAACAGCCAAGCTGAGAGCAAAATCAGGAACACAATCCCATTTACAGCTGTCACAAAAAGAATAAAATACCTAGGAATACAGCTAACCATGGAGGTGAAAGATCTCTACAATGAGAATTACAAAACACTGCTTAAGGAAATCAGATGACATGAGCAAATGAAAACACATTACATGCTCATGGATACGAAGAATCAATATCTTTAAAGTCACCATACTGCCCAAAGCAATGTACAGATTCAATGCTATTCCTTTCAAATTGCCAATGACACTCTTCACAGAACTAGAAAAAAATACTTCAAAATGCAGTGGTATCCAAAAAGAGCCTGAATAGTCAAGGCAATTCTAAGCAAAAGAACAAATCTGGAGGCATCACGTTACCTGCCTTCAAACTACACTACAGGGCTACAGTAACCAAAACAGTATGGTACTGGTACAAAAACAGACACACAGACCAATAGAACAGAACAGGGAGCTCAGAAATAAGGCCGCACACCTATAATTATCTGATCTTCAACAAAGTTGACAAAAACAAGCAATGGGGAAAAGTGCTGGGATAATCTGCTAGCCATATGCAGAAGATTGAAACCAGACTCCTTTCTTACGCCAGATATAAAAATCAACTCAATATAGATTAAAGACTTAAATGTAAAACCCAAGACTATAAACATCCTGGAAGACAACTAAGGCAACACCATTCTAAATATAGGAATGGGTAAAGATTTCATAACCAAAAGCAATCACAACAAAAGCAAAAATTGACAAATGGCATCTAATTAAACGTAAGAGTTTCTGCAGAGCAAAAGAAAGCATCAACAGAGTAAAAGAACAGTCTAAAGAATGGGAAATAAATATTTGCAAACTATGCATCTGACAAAGGTCCAATATGCACCATCTATAAGAAACTTTAATTTACAAGAAAAAAAGCAAAGAACCCCATTAAAAAGTGGGCAAAGGACATAAACAGACACTTCTCAAAAGAAGACATACACACGGCCAATAAACATATAAAAAAAAAAAAGCTCAGCATCACTGATCATTAGAGAAATGCAAATCAAAACCACAATGAAATACCATCTCACACCAGTCAGAATGGTCATTATTAAAAAGTCAAGCCGGGCGCGGTGGCTCAAGCCTGTAATCCCAGCACTTTGGGAGGCCGAGACGGGCGGATCACGAGGTCAGGAGTTCGAGACCATCCTGGCTAACATGGTGAAACCCCGTCTCTACTAAAAATACAAAAAACTAGCGGGGAGGTGGCGGCACTGTAGTCCCAGCTACTCGGGAGGCTGAGGCAGGAGAATGGCGTAAAAACCCGGGAGGCAGAGCTTGCAGTGAGCTGAGATCCGCCACTGCACTCCAGCCTGGGCGACACAGCGAGACTCCGTCTCAAAAAAAAAAAAAAAAAAAAAAAAAGTCAAAAAATAACAGGTGCTGTCAAGGTCGTGGAGAAAAAGAAATGTTTATACACTGTTGATGAGAGTATAAATTAGTTCAACCATTGTAGAAAGCAGTGTGGTGATTCCTAAAAGACCTGAAAACAGAACTACCATTTGACCTAGGAATCTCATTATTGAGTATATACCCAAAGGAACATAAATCATTCTGCCATAAAGACATATCCACAAGTATGTTCACTGCAGCACTATTCACAATAGCGAAGACATGGAATCAACCTGAATGCCCATCAGTGGTAAACTGGAAAAAGAAAATGTGATCCACATATGCATACATATACATATACATATGCATATACATATACATATACATATACACATACACATATATATACATGAAGGTGCCACACTTCTTGCATTTTTGTTTTTTGTTGGTGATTTTACTATTTAAAGGGTCCCAATGCCTAGCACTGAAGTGCTGTTTAGTGTTCCTAAGCACAAGAAGGCTGTAACACACCTCATAGAGAAAATGCATGCCTTAGATAAGCTTTGTTCAGACATGAGTTATAGTGCTGTTGGGTGTGAGTTTAATGTTAATGAATCAACTGTATATATTAAATAAGGTGTATTTAAACAGAAACACATATAAATCAAACTTACGTATTGATCAGTCGACAAAAATGTGGCCAGAGATTGGTGGGAACCCAACCCTGTATTTCCTCTAAGACCAGTGGTTCAGTATTCACTAATTCAGTGTTTGTGGTGACTTTATAGTCATAATTACTGTGAATAATGAGAACTGACTATAAATAGATCAACTGTTGAGTGATTAATTTGCAAATGTTCAAATTGCCCATAAAAACACAACTGTAAAAATAATTGTTATGAAAACACAACAGTAAAAATAATTGTTAATACCTTTATGTTTAGATAACATTTTATAATTTCTCACTGTTGGTACAATTGTGAAACTGCCTATGATATATAAGACCTCAGACACCTAAAAAACAAAGAGATAAAAATATGTTGGAAGGGGAGAATATCTCAAAGATGGTCTAGCACCTCTACTTTTGAAGCTATTTTTCTCTAATGTTTTGGAATGGCACTGATGCCATCGCTCCTTTCTTTACTTCTTTCAGGCCTCTATTCATGTGGCATCTTATCACTGAGGCATTCTCTGATCCGCCTTTATAAAGAGCCCCTCAACTTCCATTCCCTTTACTCAGCTTTACTTTTCTCCATTGCTCTTATCATCATCTGACATATAATCAATCTATTTATTTGCTATTGTTTATCTCCTCCAACAAGATTAGAACCTCTATAGAGGCAAGTCCTTACATTTGGCACCTAGAACACTGCCTGGAACAAAGCAGGCATGCAAATAAATATTTGTTAAATAAACTAAATGAGAACAATAATGGATTCATAGAAGCTCACTGCATGTAAAAATTAGTCAAATATGGCACTAGGTATCCTGGAATAAGGACATAATATACTTCAGAAACTATATCTTTGCTGCTAGAAATATCTTTTTAACTAAGACAAACTGGAATTGACTTCCTAATTCCTACACTTTGTAGTAAAGAAAGGCCATCTATAGCCTCTATGCGTGTAACTTTAAGAAGGGTTTCCTTTGTATTAAAAAATCCAAACTTATGAAATAAAGAAAGTAGAGGACTTTTTACATATAGAAGAGTTTTTTTCATTTAAAAATGGTTTTATTTCAGAAATTCTTTAGATGGTAAGCTTTCCTGGAATATAGCAAGTATCATTTACCAAAAATATATGAGCTACACAAAAAGTTTTAGGCTCATATCTGCTAATAGAAGTAGTGCTATTTTCGTAAGCTAACACTTAAGATAAAACGTTTAATCCCTCTTCCATACTTCCATCCCAGCAGGGGTGCTATTCCCCTACTCTCTATTTGAACTGCCATTTTAACCTGGTTTCTTACCAAACAATTCATCTATGATGAGAGTTTGATTTTGAGTGAATAAGTATCAATATCATTCTGAAAAAATTATGTTACTACTAGTGTTGGCACATACTAGCACATACACACATGCAAATACCTAGCCAACCATAATAATTCACGCAGAACAGATTACCAATGTCCTCCCCTTACCCTAATAAATGAAATGTATCCTTCTATAAATTAGAATGATGCCTCAGACCCCACAACTGTCAAAAATATATGCTATACCTGTGTGAATTGGTCACAGTCAACAACGCGGAAAGTTTTGCCATAAATTGTGATGTTTATTCCTCGATTTAGGTCTTTCCAATGGTAATGGTCACCCCGGTCATTCTTGGCTAGCCGCTGCCGTTTTATTAACTTGCCTTGAGGGATTCCAGAATTTTCTACAACAGGCTCTATGACAGACATGCTGTCATCTTCTAGATAATAGTAAATGTTCACTTGACGGATCCTATACTGTTCCTCAGTTGACATAGGAACATCTTCTTGGAAATAGGCATCGAATTTCAGTACCTGTAACATGCAAGGAAAGGAGAAATGGTGTACTATTAGCTTGTCATAGTCATCTGAAAAATATCAAGTACCCTCCTCAAAACAGAACCACACAAGGAGATTTTAACACTCATCACTCCTATCCTGTAAATCTTGATACTCTAAAACTACAAACACTGCAAACTATAGTCCATGGGACAAATCTAACCTGCCACCTGTTTTTTTATGACCTGCAAGCTAAGAATGGGTTTTACATATTTAAATGGTTTAAAACATTTTTTAAAAATTTCATAACACATGGAAATTATACAAATTTAAATTTTCAATACACAAATAACTATGTAAATAATTTATGCCTTTTTGTTAACAGCTGCTCTCCCATTACAAGGGAAGAGTTGAACAGTTGTGACAGAGATACACAGACTAAATTGTGTCTCCCTCATCCCCAAAATTCATATGTTGAACCCCTAACCCTCAATGTGACTATATTTGGAGACAGGATCCTTAGGAGGTAATTAAGGTTAAACGAGATCTTAAGGATAGGGGTATGCCACCTTTAATCCCATAGAACTGGTGGCCTTAGAAGAGAAGGAAAAAAGAAACAGAGTTACTTCCCTCCCCTAACTCCCACATGTACACACCAAGGTAAGGCCACATGAAGACATAGCAAGAAGACCGCTGTATGCAAGCCAGGAAGACAGCCCTCACCAGAATTCAAACCAGCTGGCACCTTGATCTTGGACCTCCAACCTCCAGAACTGTGAGAAAATAAATTCTATTATTTAAGCCACTCAATCTGTGGTATTTTGTTGTGGCAGACTATGCAGACTAAAACTACTGCAATGGCCAAAATATATGCTATCTGCCCCTTTACAGAAAAAGTTTGCTGACATCTGCTTTAAATACTCACAATGTGTATAAACTATTTATTGCATACGTTCCTTGGTGAGAATACATCTCAAATACATCTTAACTCTACTGGCTTCACCTCCATGTCAAAAGTCCCTCCCAGAACTTCTGGGAAGAGTAAAAAGTCTTGGACAAGATTGTGATTTTTGGTTTCAAACTGAAAATGAGGGTTAATTGCACTTCTTTAGAAGTGTAGTCCTTTGTAAATATATATGAATTACACTCATTATTATAGACTTTATATGAATGACTTTCATATCATCAATCCACTATAGAATCTTTGCAGGGTTTGTATATACCCTCATCATCAATCCACTACAGAATCTCTAAAAGGTGTGTGTAAATACCCTCATTGTGCTCAGGAACCCGTATATTACATCAAGCAAACCATTGGTCCTCTGGGGAGCATCATCATCAATGTGAAGTCAAAATGGTATCAATATATAGATTATACATTTAAAAAACATAAAACATGCCAGGCGCAGTGGCTTACGCCTGTAATCCCAGCACTCTGGGAGGCTGAGGCAGGCAGATCACCTGAGTTAAAGAGTTCGAAACCAGCCTGATCAACATGATGAAACCCCGTCTGCACTAAAAATACAAAAATTAGCCAGGCATGGTTGTGGGCGCCTGTAATTCCAGCTACTCAGGAGGCTATGGTAGGAGAATCACTTGAACCCAGGAGGTGGAGGTTGCAGTGAGCTGAGTTAGCGCCACCGCACTCCAGCGTGGGTGACAGAGTGAGACTCCATCTCAAAAAAATAAAAAATAAAAACATAAAACAATATTATAAAAAGCATATATTGACATGCTTTGGGATTTTTAAATTTCTGTTATTTTGTCTCTGTTTTTAATGTGCCTTTTCAAGGAGAGAAAGTATTAGAATGGGATTCTAAGCAGGCAAGATAGTTTACCCAAGCCTCTACTAGAATAAGAGGAACAAATCAAGAAGATCCTAAATGAAACACAAATATGGCTTGATAAATGGAAAGATGAAATAATTCTATACATAGGCACTGTTACTAAAAAAAAAAAAAAAAGGTAGAATAACTACTGTGGAAAAACAAGATAAAAGTCAAAAGAGAACTGGCAATTGCATAGAAGAAATATGAATACAATGAAGGCCTTAAAACTCATAATAAAAAGATAAAATGGATAAGTGCAGTGGAATGTTTGAAGGAGAAAAATAACATGGTAAAAACAAAGGACAGATAATGTTGGAGTAATATTTTAGATCAACTGCAAAGAACTGAAAGTGGGGACATAATCATAGTAATTCATATATAAAATGGCCTGTATCTGAGCCATATATTTATAAATACATAAAATGTTTAAGCTGAACCGATCAGCTAGTCGAACCCCACTTATTTTATATAAGGAGGAAACTGAGACCCAGGGTAGTAAGGTGGCTTGCCTGAGGCCATGTAAGGCGTTAGGGTCAGAGCTGGAACTAAAATTCAGACTATTAACTCACAACCCAATATTCTCTCCACATATCTTGCTATTTCTCAGATAACAGATGCTATAGTGGTTCCAAGAAGGAATCCGTGTGAGCTAAAGTAGTCAGAGAAAGCTTAACTAGGAGGAAACAGGAGACGTATTAGACTTGAAGAGTGGGAAGATTTTAGATCAGCAGAGGATACAAGGGGGGGGTTGTAAGCAGTGGCAATAACAGAAGCAGAGGAAGGAAACCCAGCAGCAGTATGCAGGCTATGATGGAGGAGGAAGTACTAGGCATGGCAATCAGATTGAAAGCCCCTTGAATAGTCCAGGTCTGCAGTAATTAATTAGCAGCAATAGAAAAGCAGAAGTCTGACTGGATTGATAGTAAGGAAGTGGGAAGATGGAAGCAGATGAGGTATTAAGGAAAACCCAGTGCTGGCGATATAGTGGTGATCCCATAGAAATGTAAACATAAGGAGAAGATAATTTGGGTATGGCAGATGGTGAGTTTGATTTTAGACTTACCGAATTTAAATGACAGCACAAGTTGTATACTGCAGGGGGTAATTTATACTGCAGGACTGGGTTTAGGGGAAGAAGTAAATATTACAGAACATTCAAGGATAATACAAACATTTTTGGCCAAGCAACTGAAAGAATAGAATTACTATCAAATTGATATGAAGAAGATGGCTGCAGAACAGATTTTGGGGGTAAGAAGACAAAATTGGGAGTTCAGTTTTAGATATGCTTAATTTGAGATATTTATTAGACATTCAAGAGGAGATGTCAAATAGGCATTTATGTATACATATGTTTAGAGGACAACTTATCATCATAAAGAGGACATTTCAAGCCATGAACCTGGGCAACTCACCAAAGGAGTGAGAAGAGAATCACAGAGAAGATAACCAAAGATCAAGTCTGTGGCCACAGCCATGTTGTCAAACCATCTGTTTTCTAAGACTGGTGGGCATGAAAATGCCTATGGCCACAGGAAGTTGGCCTCAGAATGGGAGGCAATATCTCCTTGATATCTATATCTATATCTCCTTGATATATATATCTATATATCTCCTTGACATATATATATGTATATGTGTGTTTGTGTGTGTGTGTGTGTAAGGTCTCAGGTAAAGAATATGCTAACCGAAAAGAATTACTTAATTGATTGTTAATTTTTAAAAGGCACTTATCTATTTATTAAGAACAGAATTAAGAGTTCTGTGCTCCTCCCACAAAGAATGACTTGGGGAGAAGAGTTAACGAAGAAAAGCTCTTTGGAAAGTTTCCCTGGAATCATGGCAGATGGAAGGAAGGACTAGATTGCAGCTCCCACTCAGACAGGCAGAGCAGCGTGTGAAGGCTCACATTGTGAACTTTTGCTCCAGGATGACTGCAGGAGTAAATTAGGAAAGCGGAGAGAATCCATAGGCCCTCTGAAAGAAGCAGATTGCTCCTGCAGAACCCAGGAGACACCCCAAATACTGTGAGTGCCCAAACCATGGAAGTGGGAAAGGGAGATCAACTGACCCCAAACACACACCCCCACTGAGGAACCTGAAGGTCTAGATTACAGGAGAAGATTCTGACCTTACCTGGAGCTGGGTCAATTCAGAGAGCCGAGTGAAATACAGGGGTAGAGGAAGCAGCGGGAAAAGTCTTGTGGTCTTGCTGGGGTCCCCTACCAAGCCATTTCTGCCTTGCTTCATAGGGGTACTTGGGGAGGGCAGCCAGAGGCACTGGGAAAAGGCCACAGGAAGAAGGGAACCTCAAGCTGAACTCTGTAACAATTTGAACCAATCAAGAAGTCTCCTGGCCAGAACTCGGGAGAGGGTGTGAATCCAGTGTGTAGATTCCACAGGTTGGGGAAGAAGGAAAGCCCCACTTGCTTTCAAAGCCGGGAGGCAGGTAGCCTGGGGCAAGTTCTCAGCCCTGCTCACCCACTGCCTGGAAACAGACTTGGTGCTGTTGGAGAGGGGCGGGACAGTGGGAGTGAGACTGGACCTTTGAATTGCATGGGGGCTGGGTGAGGTCTGTGACTGCTGGCTTTCACCCCCTTCCCTGACAACCTTAAGTACACAGTAGAGGCAGCCATAATCTTCCTAGGAACACAACTCCACTGACCTCAGACCCTCACCCCTAGCCCCCACAGCAGCCGCAGCAAGACCTGCCCAAGGAGAGTCTGAACTCAAACACATCTTGCCCTGCCCCAACTTAATGGTCCTTCCCTACCCACCCTGGTAACTGAAGACAAAGGGCATACACTCTTGGGAGTTCTAGGGGCCCACCCACTGCCTGTTCCCCCGCATACTACCACAGCTAATGCTATATTGAAAACACCACCTCCTGGCAGGAGATCAACCAAAACAAAAATAGTACGTTAAACAACCAAGGCTAAGGACCCTCACAGAGTCCGCTTCACCCCCCTGCCACCTCCACTGGAGCAGGTGCTGGTATCCATGGCTGAGAGATTCACAGATGGCTCACAGCACAGGACTCTGCAGACAACCCCCAGTACCAACCTGGAGCCTGGTAGACTTGCTGGATGGCTAGATCCAGAAGAGAGATAATAATCACTACAGCTCAGCTCCCAGAAAGCCACATCCCCATAGGAAAAGGGAGAGAGTGCTACATCAAGGGAACATCCCATGGAACAAAAGAAGCTGAACAACAGCCTTGAGCCCTAGACCTTCCCTCTGACAGAGTCTACCCAAATGAGAAGAAACCAGAAAACCAACTCTGGTAACATGACAAAATAAGGTTCTTTAATGCTTCCCAAAAATCACACTAGCTCATCAACAATAGATTGAAACCAAGAAGAAATCCCTAATTTACCTAATAATTTAGAAAGTTAGTTATTAAGCTAATCAGGGAGGCACCAGAGAAAGGCAAAGCCCAATTTAAGGAAATCAAAAAGATGATACAAGAAGTAAAGGGAAAAATTTTCAATGAAATGGCATAAATAAAAAACAATCAAAACTTCAGGACAAAACAATGGATGTGCTTATAGAAATGCAAACTGCTCTGGAAAGTCTCAGTAATAGAATCAAACAAGCAGAAGGAAGAACTTCAGAGCTCAAAGACAAGGTTTTCTAATTAACCCAATCCAACAAAAACAAAGAAAACAGAATAGGAAAATATGAACAAAGCCTCTAAAAAGTTTGGGATTACGTTAAATAACCAAACCTAAAAATAATCAGCATTCCTGAAGAAGAAAAATCTAAAAGTTTGGAAAACATATTTGGGGGAATAATCAAGGAAAATGTCCCCAGCCTTGCTAGAGACGTAGACAACCAAATACAAGAAGCTCAAAGAATACCTGGGAAATTCACTACAAAACGATCATCACCTAGGCACACTTTCCTCAGGTTATTTAAAGTTAAGATGAAGGAAAGAATCTTAA